CAAGACCTCTTTTAAATGTTCAAGAGTAAATATGTAATTCTGAGTACTAAAGTGCACCAGATCCAAGCCATGGCGTTTTCAATAGCCTCATATATATTTGAAAGTTGGGCAATGAGTACCAAAGACCATAGAAGAATAGATGCATTTGAATTATGGTGTTGGACAAGAATAATAAGGGTGCCATGGACTTTCAGAAGAACAAGTAAATCTGTGTTGGAAGAAGTACAACCAGAATGCTCATTAGAAGCCAAGATGGCCAGACTTCGTATCTTATAATTTGTACATATTATCAAGGAGGGATCAGTCCTTGGAGAAGGACATCATGCTTGGTAAAGTGAAGGACTGGAGAAAAAGAGGGAGACTCACCCCCTGTGAGATAAATTGGTGCAGTGGCAGCAGTAATCTGCTGAAGCATAGCAGCGATTGTGAGAATGATGCAGTACAGTACCAGGCAGTGTTTTCATTCCATTGTAAATAGGATTCCTGTGTGTCGGAACCAACTCACCAACACTTAACAACAGTGAAATCAGCAATTAAAGAAGCCTAGGTGGTACTGTATGATAAGCACTGACTGTTAACTGCAAGGATGGCACTTCAAATCTGCCAGCCACTCTTCAAGAGAAAGATGAGACTTTCTGCTCTCATAATGATCAATACCCTCAGAAACCCTGTGTTCACTATGAGTTGGCAGTGGGTTTGGGTTTTTTATTTTATCAGCTAATTACTACCAAATAATATTGCTTAACTGATAATCACACACTTAAATGATTTTTTTTAAGTTAATTACACTTTTATTTTTCTTTAATCTTAAATTTGCCTGGGCAGTTGTTGGGTTAATACAAAATTGGCTCAGTTATCTAGGCTGAGCTTGCTCTTACATCTTTGGTCAGCTGTACCTCTGAGGGTTTGTACTGAAAGTTCAGTTCTGGTGCCTCAGTCCTCTTCCATGCTGTCTTTTATTTATATAGTAGGCTTTTCTGGGCTTATTCTCATGGTGGAAAAGTGTTTCAAAGAAGAAACAAAAGCTCACAAGGTCTTTTAAAGTTCTATTTGGAATTGACACTCCATCACTTTTGCTGTATAATTTTAGCGAATTTAATCTCCAAGAAAGTCTTTTCCTCCATACTGCTGATTGGAGAACTCACAGCATTATATCGCAAAGGACACAGAAAACAGAAGTGAAAGTTGCACTGTTTCTTCAAACTCAGTCTTGTAGAGTTGTCAAGTGATAAGTCATTAAAGCAATTTTTGAAGAAAGATATAAATTGAGCATGTTGTTTATGAGTGTAAAAAATGGAAAGAACTTGCTGTAGCCCAACTCCTTTTTTACCTGGCTGTGAATACATTTCTTCATGGTTTGTGTGCATGCATGCTTATATACATATGTCCCTGTCCCATGTATTCAGTTCTGACTCATGACAACTTTGTATAGAGTTTTTGATTAGCTGCTGATGGGTTTGAACTGTCGACCTTGTGGTTAGCAGTACAGTGCTTATCCTAAAGTGCCACACCAGAACTATATACATGCATACATACATGTATGCATATGTATGTCTATATATGTGTATTGTTGTTGTTAAGTGCCTTCAAGTCAGTCCCAACTCATAGTGATCCTGTATGGGTTTTCTGCGGTGGATTTGAATTGCTGGTCTTGTGGTTCAAACTGACCTTGTGGTTCAATGCTTATCCTAAAGTGCCACATCAAGACTTAATTTATCTGTATTTTTGTAGTTGTTGTTGTTAATTGCCATCAAGTTGATTCTGTCTCATAATGAGACTGTACAGTGTTTACGAGGAGCAGCTGGTAGGCTTGAACCAACAACCAGTCCAGGGCTTATCTTACAGCACCATACCAGTAGTCTATGTTTTTGTATATCTATGTTATAGTTAAATGCCTTCAAGTTGGTTCCAACTTAGCAACCCTATATAAAAGAACAGAAAGTCTCTTTCTTACGTGGAGGGGCTGGTGTGCTCTAACTGCCAACTTTGTGGTTTTCAATCTAGTGCTTATCATATGGACCACCATGCTCCCATCACTATTAGTTGGAATTCGATGGCACTTAAAAACAGCAGTATGTAAAATATATATGTTGTTGTTAAGTTTCATCGAGTTGGTTCCGACCCATAGTGAGCCTGTATAGGGTTTCCAAGGAGTGACTGGTGAGCTTGAACCTCCAATCTTCTTGTTCAGATGACTTTGCAGTCCAGCACATTAACCCACAGCATCATAACACCAGCTCTCAAAAATAAATAAATAAATAAATTTAAATATATATATATATATAATTATATATATATATATTTATATA